ACCAACGGCGGAGGAGAAGTAACTGTTGAAGGCCTCCCGTACAGCTACAGCCTCTTGGGTGGCGTTGTTGGCGCCCGCTCTCCTTGCTTGTTGAAGTGCAGGGAAGTCACGTTCTTCCAGTGGGACAGGATTTTCAGCTGTGGAGTTCCACCTCTGGAAGTTGTGAAGGGCCACTGTAGCTTTCACAACAGCATCCACATTTTCATGGCTCACTCGGAGTGAGTCACTCCAATCACCCGGTGGTAGATTCTCCACTGTGCAGCAAGAATCCCAAAGGCATTCTCAACTACTCGTCTCGCTCTTGATAGGCGGTAGTTGAAGATCCTCTTTGGTTGGGAGAGGTTTCTTCCAGGATATGGCCTCAGCACATTCCTCCTTGTGATAAAATAAGAAAAAAAAAAAAATTTAACCAGAGAAACAAGCTACAATTCAATAACCAATAATGATAAACTTTAATATTTAACATAATGCTACAGAACAAGTAATCAGACAATTTTATATACAATTTTTTTGTATTTTATACAAATGTGATACTGCATGTGAATTGAAAACCAGAGATTATTTTTTGTTCAGAGGCTAATTATTCCACTCTATATATAATGTAGAGCATAATGTATAATTAACAGGGGCGGATTTAGGAAATTTGGGGCCCTAGGCGAAGACAGGCAGGGGGCCCTCTGAATGGAGAAGACAACACATAAAACAGACCCATTCTACAGATAGAGAAATGTTAATAGAATAGACATCCATTATCTGTTCTAGGTTGTGTCCCTCTCTTCTTGTCCCTTTTCTTCTTGTTTTCCTCTCTATGTTTTGTACTCAGCTGACTTTTCATGCTGTCTCTAAAGGAATGAAAGATTTTTTCCAAGCACTAAGCTCACTTAGCTGATTGCTCCTTCCTGTGTTTCTGATGGCATTTTAGCAAAAGGACTTTTATCAAAAACATAATTAATGTGCACATATAAGGAATAGTTGTATTAACCATACATGGAAACAGGGTTTTATGGGGCCCCAAGGAACTTGGAACGTGAGAAATAAACAGCGGCGAAGAAATAACTAAGGTAAAAAAATACAAAGGAAGAATAAAACAGACAAAAATATTATAACATGCACATAAATAAATACTTAAAAATATAAGTAATTAAAAAATAGAGTTGAAGATTATAAAGGACAGAAAAATAAATGAGGTAAATATTACAAAGGCAAATAAATAAAGAAGCTAATTAAGAGTTATATACATTTATGTCTCACTTTTTTGTTGGCAATTAATTGTATACTTATACATTTATTGAGCATTTATTTATTTCTGTATTTATTTTTAAATATGGCAGAGTCGGTCCTTCATAGGGCTAGTGCTAGCGCTTGCCTCTTAGCACGGGTCAGATACATATTTGCTGCTGAGCAAAAGCTGGAACAACAAACAAATGACTAGACTCGGCAACCCAGCCGGCGCGGCGCAGCGCAGCGCAGCGCAATGCGCTGAACCCCGCGGCCAGCGCAGCGCAAATCGCTTCCTATCTGAAAGGCCCAATAGCGGAGCATATTTTATTGATGGCTGGCTGACAGGTATTATTTATATATTATTTATATTCTTATATTATTAATATAAGTTTAGATTGAGAGTAAAGCCATGAGGAGGAAACAACCCTTGGACCTCTTTATAAAACAGAAACATTTACTGTTTTATATCCTTTATAAAAGGATATAAAACAGTAAAAGTCCAGACTCTAATTAATGTGTACAATAAAATTTTAAAACCCGCATTCATCATTCTTCTACCTTTCCCTGTTTGTTTTTTTATTCTTCTTTTACTCTCTCTATTCCATTCTTAAAGTAGTGCTTTATTTGAGTGAAACGTTAGCATCATTTTCATTATGAATGAAGTAGTCCCCATGAGGTCTGTGTTAAATATATAAAGAAATGACACAGCACATAGAGCTCTAGCTTGGAAGGGGGAATGGTGCAATAGAGTCACTGTTGCTGTGTGTCCATTTCAAGTATTGACTAGGCTTAATTTTTATCCTCTGAAAATCATCATCTCTTTACTAGACAAACCTGCCTACAGAGCTAGCCTAGCATTACAGTACCTTCTCTAACATAGAAAGTTTTCCTGGAACAATGCTTCTGTGCTCCTTTTATGCTCTATCTTCTCCAACCTCTAGTCAGTTGTGGCAGAATAAGCCTGGTTCTGCTGTAGGTTTCTTCCTGTTAACGGTGGGGTTTTCCTCTCCACTCTCACTACATGCATGCTCAGTATAAAGGATTGCTAGAAAGTCAATGACACATTGCAATCAACTTCCCTTTGTTGCTACATGCTCATTCAGGAGAGGTGAATTCTGCAAAGTCAATGACTGGGTGCGACCAGCTGGGTTCTCTTAGATATCAAATTTGTGAAACATTCCCTTCTGTGTGATTTAATTGAATGGACTGTAAACTGCATTTAGACTGTGTATTGTGAATATGATGTCACAAAATTGCCACAACCAGAACCCCTCTTCAAACCCAGAAGATCCAACCACGTGTATATTGCTGCCATCTTTTTCAAAGCCCCCAACAACAGGAAATAATATTCCATAATTCTTAATCATGGATGTTTCTCAATTTAAAAATGAATATTCCAGCTAATGCCGAGGTTCATCTTTCAGCTTCTAGTAGCAGGATGAGTCAGGCTGCTGCAAACACTGTGTTCAAAGTTTCTGTTCAGCTCCACCCGTAACTAACCCTGTTAATAGTCAGAGAATAAAAGCAGGAACTGTGAGCTCTGAGAGCTCTGCAGTTAAATTAACTAGAAGGCTTCAGCCCATTTTAATCTGGACACCGGAGGGTTGAATTTTTTACATAATTCCTCCTCTGGCTAAACAGAGAAAATCCTTCTTCTGCGGACTGAGAGATCCAGGTGTTCAAACTGTCAAGTGAAACATTCATCATGATGCACAAGGAGCAGATTTATAATGTGAAACAGCTGAAAAATTAAAACAATTGCGATTCTAATCACATTGCATTAAAACCGCAGAAATGTCAACATATATGACAACCTTAGAGCCCATACAAGATAAGCGGTTCCTTTTATGGGGTATTGATAAGGTGACCCACTCTTACATGAATAAGGGTCTTGTTTTATTTAACAAGTATGGATTTTCTAATTTTTCACAGCGGGTGGGATGAAGTGTTTCACAGCAGAACAAAGACAGCTTTTTTTGTGCTTCAAAAGAAAACAGAGGGGCAGCCTCGGAAAATTCAATCCGATAACAGACAGACGACTCCTTCATAAAAAACTTCAAAACAAAATCGATGAAAAGCTTATTTTTAAAGTGAAATACTATGGATAAACTTTGCTGCTACTCTTGAGCTAAAATTTGATTACTAGGAAACATCAACAGAGTTATGAGGCTATAAACATAGAGGAAATCTATTCAAATCCCTGACTTTTATTGTTATAAATGAACAGGAAATAAACCAAAAAAGTGCCACATATTAGGATTTTCAGAGAAAAAAGAAACATAAATATTTACTATTGTTCCACATCTAGATAAAAATGCAACTATTAACAAAGCAGCATATTTTTTGTATGCTACAAAGAAGAAGAAGTTGATCCCCAAACCTCAGTTGGGGATATGGTGATGAGGTGAGAAGGCTAAAGCAGCACTGAGGTTGGCTTTGTTTTGAAGGTGATAAAAAAATGACAAACTTACAGACATATTAGGGAATATAATTCAGGCAGAGAAGTAACACATGATGACTGGTTTATAAACGGATCTGTCAATAAATGAGAGAAACAGGCTTACAGAAGGAAGGTGACCAACAGACTGCTGAACTCCTTTGTTCCTAAAGCCATCAAGCTGTACAGCTCCTCACTTTGGTGGAGGAGAAGGTGGTAGGAATAGGGACAAGGGTCAGCATCCCCCTCCTTGGACATCTTCTGCAAAACTTTACCTATTGTCACTCATGTGCAATATTTTTCTCTGTCACTGCACAATAACACATGCCAACTACTGTGTAGCCTGTGTCATTTTCTACTTATTTATAAGGTCAGTACATCTCTGCAGTACAACTGCAATAAGCCAAGTCTACTACTGTAGTCTTCCCTTGGCTCTCTAATGTGCAGATATTTTTATATCTGAAGGAAACACATTCCAGGACATTGCGGCTTTTTATGCTTTTTTGTACTACAGTATGTACATTCTTTTTATGTTGTGTGTTGTATTTTTATCTCTTATAGCTTCTTGCTTTAACTCTGCCTTTTGTACTCTATATAACTTACTGGAACCAGAATGAGTAATCCCAAGGGATAAATAAAGTTGAGTCTTAAGTCTCTGACTGATTGGAGGAACTAAGATGACGAAATGTCAAAAAAACTGAGAAAACAATATAGGTACAAAGTAATAACAGAAAGACGCATAATAGCTTCAACACAAAGGAACATTATTTAAATATTAAAAACCTAAAACGCAAGAATAGGAAAAAAGAACGTCAGATCCAACCAAATTCTAGTGGATCATGATGGAATGATATGGAAATCTATTAGTGGTGCATAAAGTTTTGTCAGTGCTTTGCCTGAGACAAGGAAGAGGCACAAAAAACATGTGGTAGAAGGCACTCTGGTTTTATTTGGATAAGATAAAATACCCCTTATGATGCCCTGCCCTGTGGTAAGATACAGCGGTGGTACCATCATGGTAGTGAATTTATTTTATTTTGAAAGCCACATATTGTTTGCCCTAGATTTATGTATTTTTTTATGTTGTTCTTTCTTTGTCACAAAAAGTCACAATAAAAAAAAAAAAAGTTTATTTTTCTGATTTTGAAAAAAAAAAAAAAAGAAGGTTCTCATGGAAGACAATGTTTGTAGAAAAAAACAGACTGTAATTGTTGGTGAGTGGGTGATTGGTGCCTGGCTCCACAGAGTCTCTGTTAGCCCCTGCAGAGGTTGGAGAAGTTGCACCCGCCCTGTGGTGATGGTGGTGATGATGATGAGGAGCCATAATCTGAATAATCCCACAGTGGGCGTGTGCGCGCGCTGCTGAGCGTATCCACAGATGCTGAGAGACATCACACCGTGTCAGAGACCATGACGGGATCCGCGTGCGGAGGAGGATGATGTTCCTACAGGGACTCACCTGTGGATGGACGCCGTCAGGATGCCTTACCTGAACAGAACTCTGCTCCTCCTCTTAGCACTGCTCCTGTTCCTGCTGCTGGGTCAGATCCGAACCGCGGAGGCGCGCAAACACGGACAGCGGGTGCGCAGAAGGACCGGACCCGAGGAGACCCACAAGCATGGCGTGTAAGTCCCAAGAAATAATGTTGATGAGTGGGAGAGATGGAAAATATATCCATGAGGATTAGAGGTTGAACATGAGACATAAACATATTCTTTTGTTTTTCTTTTTGTAATTAGATCTGAAAATTAATGCATACATTTACGCATTCGGTTTAATTGAATTTTCATCATAATTATTGGTTTGTCAGTTATTTTTATGGTCGAAGCTGTATGAAATATTTACTGTATGACTAAAAACCCCTACCGGTTTGTTTTGTGCTTTTGGAAGTACTCAACATTTAAAATTGGGTCCTTAACTCAAACAAGCTTTTCTGTGAACATCTGATTTTTATCAGAATATCAGGAGTTTTTGCATCAGACCCAGACTGTCCAGCTCTGGGGGAAATTATATGATTATGTTAATGTTTTTTTTTTCTTAGTTGTATCTCAGTGAATGTGTTTAATTTCAGATCAGCCTTGTTCTGACAAAATTATCCAGAACCTCTCAATGATTCTTTCAGAAGCCTTTAGAAAAGCCTTTAGAAAATCCACCTGTTCTACAGGATTAAAACACCAACCATGCATCTGAGTGGAAGAAACACCCTGCAGCCCTGCAGGTGACTCAGAGTCGACCATCCTTTCCTCAGCCTAAAAAAAAAACATTTTTTGAATGTTTTTAAACCAGGATCTTTATGAATGCACGCCTTTCATCATAGAGTTTCAGAACAGCTCTATAGAGCAAGGCTTACTGTTTAGCAACAGCTGTGCACATCTGGACTCAGCATTTAACACAGCTGGTTCTGGTCCCAACTAGTACAGTATATACAAACAACAGTAATAAAAAAATACAAATGTCAACAGTGATCTAAAGACTGTTTTGTTTATTGTGGCTATGATTATAAAGTCAAACATCTGTGGGTAAAATAATCAGTTATAAATCGCCTTAGTACACCTGTTATGGAACAGTATGAAGAAACTCTCAGGATCTTTTAGTATTGTGCATGTGGATAAATACATATTCCAACAGTGATGCGCTTTTTGCAAGACATTTTTTTTTCCCACCACTGGGTTTAAAAGGGGGTAGTCTATAGAGCTTAAACAGCATTGTGCAACAAAAATCTCAAACACGCTTGTTTTAGCATTTTTAAATGCTCTGTGGAGAACATTGTTGCTTTTAAATATTTTTATATTTGCAGGTTTTTTGCAACAAATTCTATTTTTCATTGCATGGTAGTTTTGAACAGTCTCCAGTATGGGCCCTCTAATAAAGAATACAGATGATTGAAGGCTGCAGTACATGACCCAGGCCTTTTCTTAATCAGGGGCACATCTTCAAGCGAGATAACCTCGTTTTATCATATTTTGATCTGATACCATATTTCAAAGTGAATCCAGACTGAACTGATTTTTAATTCTTATCAGATTCCTATATTAATGTCAAATGTTCATCAGATACACCCTTTCCCCTTTTTTTAAACTTAAAATTCAAACTTTTTTATTAAACAAAGATGAATAAATGCAAAAGGAAGTAGCGATGCACTGATTTGATACTCAGATTGGTGCATCTCTACAGTTAGATGACAATTTTCTGTTATTAAGATAAAAAAAAAGCAGTTTTCTTCAACCCAACCATTTTTTCCATTTTTAAATAGCTTGACTGAAATTGATTACCCACCGCTTTTAGACAGCTGAGTTCAATTTTACCCCTCACACACAGGACTGATTACTGTCTGACCTGTAAAATCAAGAATCCACTTACTGTAGAACATGGATGACAACATGAGACAAACTAAAAGGTGTCACAAAGCATTACATCATGTCTTGATCCAAAAACATTCCTGAACAGTCGAGAAGCAAAGACTCAGACATCCATCTGGAAGGAAGACCCTGGGTTTTCAGTAAACCACACTAAGAACCTTTACTTTGAAAACATGGAGCATTGGAGAACCTTCCCAGAAGTAAATGGGCAAAAAAAAAAACTCTTATGTAACTTTAAGGTCTATCTCTTTTCTTAAAGGTACATTGGAGGAAGTATTTTTCAAATTAAAATAAGTGGCCCTCCTAATTGTCAATCATTCTGATGATATGTTTACGTAAGGCTGTCCAATGTGCCCGTCCCCATTTTCACTTACAGGTGGTGGAAAAATTACAAATCTTCTTTAGGAAAGTAAGCTTGTATGAGTGATACAAACAGCAACTCTTAAATAGAGTGTGCACAAGGAGAAATCTGTGCAAGAAGCATTAAATCTGTGAGAAGAAACAAAAATTTGAGAGATAAAAGAAAATATTTGAGAGAGAGCGCATGTTTTAAGTGTGAGCATTATAAGTTTTTAGTGCAAGAAGATGAAATTCTTTTCTCAATTTGAAATTATGTGCTCTTGCATTATGGCAGGATAATACTCCCATAGAAATGAGCTTATGCACGCTCTTGCATACGTTAATTAGGTGTTACCTTTTAGGTGCTGGTACAGGGTTGTGCATGGGCTTTTTTTTTTATTGTAGAGGGTGGGGTTTTTTGAAAATTTGTGAAAAATCCTCCACTATACCTTTAAGTTAACCATGATGATCCCACAAATTCTTGGAGACAATCAGCTGTTTGTGTCATGCAACATTGGCATTAAAAATTGTACAATGACACCAGCAGTTAAATTTGATATTGGGATTAAGAAGGTGTGGTTCATCTTTACTATTAGAATCTGAAAACCTTATGTTTTCCTGGGAGAACTATGAATTATTAGCTCTACCAGAAAACCCTGAAAGAGAATCCCAGGCAATCAGTCTGTATGATTTGTTTAGATTTCTTTAAGTCTCATATGTTTTTATGGATACTGGTTTTTGTAACCTGTGAAAGATGCAAAACCAACATGAAAGGAAGAGTCGTGAAAGTTAATGACGAGTCAGATATCCTCAGTTTTAGCAGATTTTAGCAAACAACTCAAACTAAATTGTTTGTATGCTGTGCCGGCACATATGCTGAGTTTGTTATTATTTTTAACCAGAACAACCTCCTTGTTTCTATCTAATATTTAGTTGTTTGAGTCTGCAGGCTGTTTCGATCCACCCAATCATCACTGATTCATCAATCACCAACATTTTTCCAGGTTTAGGTGTTCTAAAAATATCCAGACACACTCACAGTTTATAGGATTTATCATTGTCAATACAAGGAACATCTGACTAGTTTGCTTGCCTCTAGCCCTCAGAGGATGTTCTCAGTTTTGTAACAAGCTCACTTTGATGTGGCATCTTTCTACTAAGAGTAGGTGAGCTTTTACCAGTGATAACAGAGCTGCACTTTAGAAAGTGGAAACTTATTTATGAAGCATAAGCACACTTGCTTTGTGCAAACTAAAACTGAGTTCTGGAAATTATTTTCTGCTACAGCATGGAGAATATTTCTCCTTCAAATATTTTTTTCATTATCTGTCCACTTAAGTAGTAGCTGTCATAATGCTAGCTCTTGGACTCTTAAGTAGGCACAAGCACAGAAAGAAGCAGATTTAAACAGTTTATTTTCAGGAAAATGTGATGACAACTGAGTCTGGAAAAAGCTGAGGGAGCGGGGGCTGGGAGCAGGCAGGCACTGGAAGGGAACACAAGTTGTTTAAAGGGGATGAATGGATTAAGAAAGATTGTTTTAAGCAGTTTAAGTCAGCTTACACTGAGTGTGAGTCCATGAAGCCCGGTCTTGCTGGTTGGTAGATGTTGGAAGTTGGGAGTGGAGACACTGGTCTTTCAGTTTGTTTGGAGATGAGGGTGGACAGGTTTGAGCCAGGGGTTCTGAAGGCCAAGTTGGTGAGCCTGAGGAAGGAGCAGAACAGCAGCCTTGGGGGAGGTGGATCCAACAACCGTCTTTGCCAGAAGGGATCCTGAAGCAGAGAAGGACAATATGGTCTTAAACAGAGAAGATCCAACAGGAGGGAAAAAACACAATGCTGAGATTTCTCTTAAGTTGGCTTGTTACCACTCTGAGTACATCAACCATCTGCCGTCTGCTTGAGGGAGACTGCTCCTTCCTAAAGGCAACCACTGATTGAGGGAATGGAACCCAGCTGGACTCAATTAGCCTGCCACCCTGGGAGAGAAAAAAGGGAAAAGACAAACAGCCACTCCACCCAGCTCTGGAGACCTGACAGTACCCCCCCCCCCCAAGGGACGCCACCTGGCGGCCGACCAGTTGAAGAGGAAGCTGAAAGGCGCTCAAAATCTGTTACAAGGGAAGGATCAAGGATGAAAGAGCGCGGGACCCACGAGGGCGCACATCCACAATACGGCGGACGGTGTAGGCAGGGTGACCATCTATGACCCGGGCGGGAGGAGGGGGCTCGGAAGGAGGGCACAAAGGACTAGAAAGGAAAGGTTTCAGTAAAGAGACATGGAAAACAGGATGGATTCGAAGGTGATGAGGGAGCTTAAGGCGAACAGAGGATGGGCCAACGACAGCTTCTACAGGGTAAGGACCCAGAAATCTAGGAGAAAGTTTCCTAGAACAGGACTTGAGTGGAAAATCTTTAGAGGAAAGCCAGACCATTTGACCAGGAGAAAATTTGGGAGCTGCAATGCGCTTCCTATCAGCAATCCTCTTGTTCTGAGCTGAGGTCCTCTGCAGGGCTGCTGTGGCCTGTGCCCAGATCCTGCGACAGTTTTGCACATGGGCCTTAACTGATGGAATTCTGACATCAGGGAAGGTATTGGGGAGAAGAGAGGGCTGGTAACCAAGGGAGGCTTCGAAGGGAGAAAGACCAGTAGCTGAGGAGACATGGGAATTATGGGCATACTCGATCCAGGGTAAATGAGTAGACCAGGAGGCTGGGTTTGAAGCACAAATACAACGCAGGGCATTCTCGACTTCTTGGTTTAGACGTTCACACTGACCGTTTGTGGATGAAACCCTGATGACAGCCGAGCTTTAGCCCCTAGAATCAAACAGAACTCCCTCCAGACTTGTGAGACGAACTGAGGCCCCCGATCAGAGACCACCTCCGTGGGGATACCATGAAGTCGAAAGACGTGGTGAAACACAA